TATATTGAATCGATGTAACTTTTCAATAAAGGCGGTTCAATTCTGGACACTCCCTGATGATTTGGAGATATAGCAACTCTAGTAATTATCCCAGATTGCAAGATAGGTGTTTTTTTTTTTTTTTTTTTTTTTTTTTGTTTTTCCTGGAGGGAGCTGGAAAATGAATCAGACATGCAGTGTATAATATTATCTTGACAATCTATACTCATCAACTGTAAATGCCTGATAAATAAGGCAGAAGGTGGGACAAGAAGCACAGCATGCACAACTCTCTGGGTGGGATTGGGACCCCCACTCTTGACTTCTGCTTGTCCACTCCTTGGCCCCTTCCTTTGCCTGGGTCTTAGGGAGTTCCCCGAGGAGTGTGTGGGGAGGGCAGATCTACCCAAAGACAGAGATGCCCTGAATGCTGGAAAGCAGCACAGCCCCCCTGCCCTCACCTCATATCTAGCATGGGGTGGATGAATCCCTGCTGGATGGCGACCTTGACTTTCATATTTTTTATTGGTATCTGTGATACAAACCACAGTCATCCTGGGGAATCGGTCCATCCACACAGCGCCTCTTAATCATGCATACTTGCCACTTACCTCTTGCCTTCCCACCCTCCCATCCCAAATCTCCTCCCTATTTATATAGTCTATCTCCCTCCGTCCTGGTATTACTATTTTATTTTATGTTTTCAATTATTTATATTTTGGGTTTTCTTTAGAAGAAACTGTGATCCTTCATGTATGGCTTAGTTACTTTGTTTCATTATGGTCTAAATGTACCCATTTTCCTGCAGGTGACTCCAGTTTATCTTTCTGTATGGCTGAGTAGTGCTCTGGTGTGCCCTTAAGCACATTTTCTTTATCTGTTCAGCTGTTCATGGACACAGAGGCTCCATCAAAACTTCAGCTATTCCGAGGCATGCTGCTCTTATCAGGAGCACACAGGCATCCCAGAAGTATGACGTCTAACCCTTTGGGGAAGATGCCCAGAGGCCTTGACTTTTTCCTTGTAGGAACCAGAACCAAGAGATAGAAAGCAAATAGAAACTGGAGAAAAAGTAAGCATTTTCCCTGGTGGGGAGGATGCTGCTGTACACTTTGATGTCCAGTTCCTTTTTACCTTTGGCCATGTAGAGGAAAACAGGGATCTCCCTTTGGTCCAGGCAACAGGGAGATGGGGGGAAAGGTGAAAGGTAAAGAGGTCATTATTGCTGTCCTTGGACAGACACCGGGCTGTCGACTGGCTCTGGGGCCCCTTTTGAGTTCAAGGCGCCCATCACTTGCCATGTGTCCTCAGACGAACTGCTTCCCCCAAAGGGATGCTAACAGTGTGACCTGAAAGGGGCAGTGTGGTGACAACAGCCCGTCCTGTGCCGTGTGCAGGACAGGTCTCAAGAGAGACCAGCTGCACACACCTGCGGCTATGCGGGGGGGGGGGGGCTGTGCCACCTCGCAAGGCCCAGAGAGGAGCCCCGCAGCCCCTGGGGCCAGCAGGGCTGTCAGCCCACACTGCCTGTCTCCGCATCTCTGTGTCTGAAAGGTGGGGCCACTGGCGCATCAGGCTGTAAGATCCCAGGGTTTGTTCACTCAGCACCTATAGGCAGTGCAGCAAACGTCAGCTTGGGTTTCCTCCTCGTTTTGCTGCTTCCAGAAACCTCAGCATGCCGGGCAGCAAGCCTCCACTTACCTGGTCCTCCAACCTGGGCATGAGTGGGAGGCAAGCCCAGCCTCCTCCCTGCTTGGAAAGCCCCTTTCCATTCGCACACTCCCTTCACACTGGCCTGCACAGTGCTAAGCATCCATACAGCGTGGGCAGTGTTGAGCTAGACCCAACACAGGTCTGAGGGTTGAGTGCTTGTCACAGCCTCAGATCTCTCTAAGACGCTCCTGAGACCTTCATGCGGAGGCACAGCGCTGCCTGTGTCCATAGGTCTTTGCAATTTGTTAAAAGGCTGCAACTCTAAATTGCCCCGGACTCCCTTCCCTTCTCCCGCTTCCCCTCATTCTTCTTTTTTAAGGTTCAAGTCACTGGGGAAATTTAGAGGACTCATGTGTTTCTAAAGAGGTTTGGGACTTATCTGTGATGCTGTAGAAATGAAGCCAGAGTGCAGGGCCAAGCCTGCATGCAGCTAAGCTGCTGTCCCTCCAGGCACAGCCCAGGGTATGCCGCACTATCTTGGTCCCAGCCCCAGTGTTCTGGCGGGTGGTGACAGGAAATAGGTTTGGTTGAGGACCCTGCTGAAAGTCCTTTGTATTTCTGTTGCAACTGTCCCCTCAGGAACTTCACTGGGACCACGTGAGGCTCTCTTGGTGAAAACATAGGAAGCTTGGGCAAGTAAGCAAGAGGCAGCATGGGGATAGGAGGTCACCGGTGCCTGTGACAACTCCGTCCTAGCCTTGAAAGCTGGCAGCCTCCACCAAAGAGCCCCCGTGGTCAGAAAAGACCCCACAGAGAAGATCTGAGTCAGCCAGTCTATGGCCTCAAGCCCAAAGCACATGCAGGAGGGGAGGCAGGAGGGGGCTGGTGAGTGGAGCTCAAATGACATTTCCTTCCCACAGAGCTGTTTTCTGGAGTGCCAGGAATCAGAAGGGCAGTATCCTTCCTGTTCTCCCTGTGCAAACATGGAGGAAAGCTGGGCTTCCTCTTCTTTCTCTTTTTCCCTCTCACTCCACAGTGCCTCACTCTAAGGCCTATGAACAAAGCCAGCAGGCTTAGAAGAGCCTTGTGTGGAAGTAAAGATTCAGCAGCCACTTTCATTTCTCCATGTGTGGATACCGCCACCATGGAGCGAGCTCTCACCCACCCCCTAGCGATGGCATGGAAGTCACCGGTCCTCTGTGAGAGCTGAGCAGGTAGACACTTAACTACAGGCTGCACTCGGTATGGCTTAGACATCTGGATGAAAGCCTAAAGCAAAAGTCCCATCAAAGATACAGATGTTTCTAACTACCCACAGGTTGGGTGGCATGCAGTCCCAACTGCATTGTCTCCTTAGAATGGAAAGAATGTTCCATGACTCTTTGAAGGGCTGAGTCTTCGCTTATTGTTTTGACAATTTCTCTGTCAAGTCTCTTGACTTTGAGAAGGTGCCATACTCTACAGTGGCAGGATGGGTCAGGAACCTAATGTGCCTTTCCTATCTGTTCTCAGCCACCGATGGAGAAGCACAACTCACACGTGTCCCTAAAGGAACCCATGTGCTATTATCAAACCACCAAGAATGATGGTCCCCAGGGCAGCACAACCCACCCGGGGCTCCCCAACCCCAGGCAAGCTCTGCTGACTGCAGAAGCTTGGCTCACAAGGGGTTAACTGATCCTCACTCCTTTTGGTTTTATCCAACACTGCCTGTCATGAATGTTTTCACGTCAAGACATGAGGAACAACCTGCAAACAGCATGGGTCGCCTGGGAGCCACTGTGCTCAGCAGGTTCCAATTTGCTCTCTTGCCATCGGCTGTGTCCCATTGACGACGGGATGATTAGATTCTCATGTTCCATCACATTTGTGTTATGTTACGTCATATCATATTTTAGGACGCTGCTCAAAAGTGGGTTTGACGGGTGATATTAATTTTTGTTCTTCGAAGCGGGATGTGTCTCCCTCTTCCTTCCCTATCCCGGCCCTGCCTGCCCTTCTATCCATTTGGCTGGCATTTGATAGAATTCCCAGCGTCTGCTGGCTGCTCCTGGTGGCACCTTCCAAGTGCACCATGAGAGGGTATTTGTCCTGCGGATAGCAAGACAGCTAGGTAAGAAGTAGTCACTACCGGCGTTGGAGGGGGTGACCAGGCACACTGGAGAGACGCTCCTCACTGTGTGTGCCGCTCTCCTGAAATTCAAGTTGGGATCTTTGTTTGATGATGTCTTCCTTTCCCCCGCCTTGCTTTTAGGTGGGGTGGAGCCCAGCTGCACAGCCGCTCACGAGCCACGTGGAAGCACCAGAGCACCGCCTAGAGGGTGCGTGGGCAGAGCTACCGAGTCCCGCTGGCCCCCAGACACCTGTCGCACGCTAACCCCAAGGCAGCACCTTTGCTTACCTCTGAATCCATTTCCATTGCCACTGGAGCAGGCAGGCGAAGGGGAGCCTTGGGGCCTGATGACAGGGGCAAAGGCACTCTTCTGTTTGACAGCAGGAAAAACCGAAGAGGAGAACGGGAGGATGGAGGACGTGCTGGAAGACCCAACAGTGGGGCTGGACGACATGACTGGAAAGCAAATGCACAGCGCTCTTTAGAACCAGGGCTCATCTGGAAACCCAGGTCCTTCCTCTGCGCACCCATCCGGTGCACTCTTACTGAGAAACCGTTGGTTTCAAGGCCCTGTTGCCCAGATTCCAGGGATTTTTTCTAAGAACTGGAACGTGCGAACAATCTCCCTACTTCCAGGGCGGGGCAGGGGTTGAGGGGCCACATATAGCACATAATGTGGTAGTGATCTCACTGGAGGGACACAGCAGCACCGGGGAGCCACAGAGGGCAGCCCTCTTCTGCCTGGGAGGCCAGGAGAGGCCTCGGCGGAGTGACTCTGACAGGGCTTCACTGGCCAGCAGCAGCACATGGGAAGGCTGAGATGGTCAAGTGGCAGCAAGGTCACCCCATCTGCGCAGCCCCAGAACCTTCCTCTGCACCCTACCAAGAATCTGGGAGCTGTGTGCACCTCTGGCTATTCCCAGGGCCCAGAGATCTGCTGTGTAGGGTTAACATCTTGGAGAGAGCATCTCTCTGGGCCACTTACTCATTAAATGTAAAAGTTTATTAACATTTAGCAGATCGTCCCCTCTCCTTGGGCTTCTAGTGCTCCAGGGAAATAAGGCTGTAAGGCAGCCTCCCATGACATACTGTTTAGGAAAAAGCCCTCCACCAATATTAACATTACAATGAATTAAAGGATGCCAAAAGCTAAGGGTTGTAATTTCTGAGAAAAATAAGGGCAATTTACACAAGAAAAGGCCCCACCTCTTCAAAGTTGCATTAGGCAGAAGATAATTTTATCTGTTATGCTCCACTTATTCAGGAAAGGAGTGAATTTCACAAAGGCTTAAAGAACAATTTCACAAGGGTTTAAAAAAAAAAACAAAAAGGAAGTGGGCCAGATGGCACCTGCCTGAATCCTAGCACCTGAGAGGCCAAGGCAGGAAGATTACAAATTCAACCCCAGGCGAGATAGCTCAGCACACTAAGTTCCTGCTTAGGCAAGCGCAAGGTCCAGGGTTCGATCCCTGGCACTGGCCCTATCCCAGGTGTGCTGAGCTGGCCACCAAGATCAGGCATGGTGACACATGCCTGTAATCCCAGTGCTTGGGAGGCTAAAAACAGGAAGATCACAATTAGAGCTGCTGCATAGTGAGACCCCATACCAAACACATTAAAAAGAAAAAAATTCAAGCCCCATCTGGACAACTTAGCAAAACCCTGTCTCAAAATTTTAGAAAATGGAAAAAAGGAGGCTGATAGGTACAAAGTAAACTGAAGATCAATTATTTTGATGCCTTATGATAAACATATATAAAATTATAGCTAGGTCTATGCCCTCAAGTGCAGATACAAAGCATTCACAGAGGTCACCGCCAGTACCATGCCTTTTATAGCAGAGCTAAAAGCCAAAGACATCCAAAAAAGCTCTCTCTGAAAACTAACTTATTCTTTAGGTTTACTTTGGTGTTGAACACAAGATACACTCTAAATTTTAGTCTCCACATTGCTACTATACTGTTTCTATGATTTTTTTTCCTACTACTGAAACATGAACTGTCACCTTTGCTAAGTCTCACTTCACGTTTATGCCCAGATCTGCTTGCGCACTCGGCTTCGCTCCCAGGATTTGCTTACCTACTTCTCGGTTAGCAGAACACTAACGACCTGGGTGTAGATTCGGCGTCACTTTTAGTATCTCCCATGAATCCCCCTTTGCACTTAAAGGCAAATTTAAGAGATCTGGTCCTGCTTTGAAGAACTCTGGAGAAAGAAGTAACTAGAGAAAGAAGTACTTCTACATCTCTTTCTTCAAGTTATATAAATAAGAGGGGAAAAAAAGTCAGGAAACCAGGAAGAACCTGGAAGCAGGAAGCCTGCATGAGAAGTTGGGGCAGCTCACTGTCCCAGGAAAGGACACAGGGTTGAGCACTAGAAGTGGGTCAAAGTAATAATTCCCACCAAAATCTCCTCTTCCAGCCTTAGTTTCAGTCTAATGAAGCCAGGGAGGAAAAGGCAACTCATCCTTTTCCGTAAGGCACAGAACCCGAGGCAGAAGGAAGAGCGGCCGAGACTCAGGGGCTCTGGTTCCGACTGCAGACTGCTCTGCCGTCTTACAGGATTCCAGAGACAGCAGCGGCGGTGCACGCGCTCTTCCCATTGCGAGGAGTTGGGGCTTCCCCGGCCACCCGACCTCTGCGCCGCGCTTTGTTCCATTTACCCTCCTCACCCACCTCACCTGTACAAATCCTTTTTTCCTAATAATGGAGCCCAAATGAACAAGTGGCTCGAATGTGTTTGCTTATTAGGAAGAAGAGGAGTTGTCTCCAGCTTTACTAAGTGACATGAAAGATCGCTGCAGGATCGAATAAACTGGCCCCTTTAAATACTTTTTAACAAAACTTATATAACAATGCCAAATTAAACCCAAAGTAATTTAAAATTTAGTGCAGCTATACCACAAATTCTAAAAGGAATTTTAATTCCTGTAGTTTAGCAAACACAATTTCTGTGTTTATGTTTCAGTAATAAGACCCTTAAGAGTCAGAAAGTTTTGTTCCATTAAGTATGAAGGGGATTCATGGGAGACACTGAAGGTGACACTGAATCTACACCTAGGTTATTAGTGTTCTGCTAACCTACAGATAGGTAAGCAAATCCTTAGAGCAAAACAAAGTCCAAAAGCAGATCTGGGCATAAATGGAATTGAGATCTTTTTTTTTCCCCCGAAAGCAGGGATTGAACTCAGGCCCTTGTGCTTGCCAGGGAAGCACTTATTCCACTGAGCCATCTCCCTGGCCATAAGCCATCTCCCCAGTCTGAGATTTTTCAAAGATGACATTTCATGTGACATAGTAGGGAAAAATTCATAGGAACAATACCGTAGGAATGTGGAGACTAAAATTTAGAGCTTATTCTCATATTCCACACCAAAGTAAACCTAAACATATTAGGTGGTATCTGTGAAAACAAAACCCCGAAAGTGCCATTAGAAAAAGTAGAGAGGTTATGCGACTTGCAAACTATTTCAGAATTAACAACACGACTTCTTCAGTAACACCTAACCCCACAGAAATAAATTTATGTAATGCTTTCAACTCCAAAGACTGATCTGAAATTCTTAAGACGGATCTGACATATCCTGAAAAACGTGTAACACACACACACGCGCACACACACACACACAGAATGATAAGTTAAAATCACAGTACTTATTTAGATATGTTCAAGTCCTCAATAGCTGGTATGATTTTGTAAGTTTATTAGGAAAAGAGAACCACCTCCATGGGTGAAGGACACAGGAAGGAAATCACAAGAGGAGGCATGAGGTGACCAAGAGACCCATGGAGATGCACTCCGACCGATTAGTAATAAAGCACTAATTAAAATAACAAAATGTTATTTTCCACTTACTAAATTAATAAAGATTAAGGAAAAATTCCTAGGACAGGGAAACATGTATTCCCTATCTTCTGAGGGAAGAACCAGTGTCCCTGAGGGGACTTTGGCATTAGAAGGTGAAGTATTTTCCAATGTGCGTATTCCTTAACTTGCTAATTTAATCTTTAGAAATTAATCCCAAGGAGATAATCATGAATATACAAACAAATCAAAAAAAGATCCAAGGGTGTTTTGACAAAAATGAAAAATTGAGAAATACGTTAAATGACCCTCACTAGGGTAAACTATGTTAAGCCCACACAGTAAAATACTATTCAAACACTAAAACTAGTATTGGAAAAATACTTAATATGGAAATACATTCCCCCTTCAAATGGAAAAAGAAAGTTACACAATAACATGTACATCAACCCCACTGTCATTTAAAGAAAAAAATACAACAAAATCTAGAAATATGGAGTGTATATTCAAAGTGGAGGCCCTGATGTCTCTGGCTGACGAAATTATGAGTATTCTTAAATTTTATCCCTTTTACTTGTCTATGTTTTCAAAGTTTCTTTTCTTTTTTTATAGACCTGTATTACTCCAATGTAGGACAAAGCAGTAAAAGCTGTAAAAACTTAAAAATAATCTCTCATTACTGAGAAACGGTGGAGTCCTTACCAGTAAGTGTAATAGCTCTCCTGAATGACCTCAGTTTTTCTCTTTGATTTCAGGCTTCACTGTCTGTAAGCCAGTTCTATTGATTATCCCCTATGACACAAAAGAGCCAAGCCTAGGAGCCGCTCATTTCTATGGAAAGCATGATGCCTATAAGCAATTTCTGCACGCACACACGCTTTTCAGTATCTGCACTCTGGTCTCAGGACCCAGGCCTGCTCCTCTGCAGGACTTCCCGGCACCTGGCTGCGCATCCGTGGCTCTGCTACCTCGGCTGACTTCTGTCCAGCCCTTGTTTCATGGATTCAAGGGCAGGATCTCATTAGGTTGGCAGCTGGACAAACCCTGCAACTTCCAATCTATCTCGATGCAGGACTACAAAGATGGGCTTTGAAAATTAGCAAAAGTTATCTCTGCATGGAAATAGTATGCCATCTTCTTTCTCTTCTTTTACCTACACATGCTTTTCAAGATGTCTGTAATGAGATTGTTACTGTTACATAAGTTTTTTTTTCTAAAGAAGCACATCAACATGTTATAAAGGAGGGTTTTATAGTGGAAATATGCTTCCTTTTAAAAACTATTTCCATATGTTCTACATTTTCAGTAACGATCATTTAATATTTTACAATAGAAAAAGTTTTAATATTTATTTCAGAAAGTATAAAAATATTGAAGCCTGGGGCCTGGTCTAAGATTCTCTAAGTCCAGAAAGAATCTCAGAGGATGGGCTGGCTTGCTGCCCGTGTGGATCCTGTCCCACATCTTGGGTTGGCTTCACCATTGCTCTGCTTTGGAAGGTGAGGTCCCCACGGGTGTTGCAGGCTTGTTGGGTGGACTATTTTGGGGGACAGTAGAGGGCACTGTTTTAGGAAAGCTGATCACACATACTTCCAATGGAGAATTTTCTCGGGACATCTATCTCTCCACGGAGAGAGGCCAAGGTAAAAGAAGTGCGTCCAGCCCAGAAATCCCTGTGAGTGTGGGAAGTTCACGAAAAACTACTTTTCTTCTTACAAGGACGGATTGGCTTGCATAGTCCCAGCTGGAGCCCACTGGGCACACATCCTCCTTCGCACTGAGCCATTGCATTTGCTGGCTCTCAGGGGTCTGTCAGCATTTCATTAGAGCCCCCTATTGTCAGGGGCTTAGAATCCAGCCATAAAAACTTGCACTGAGCTGGAACTTGGCACATATAGCTACCGCCAGGAAGTGAGGTTTGTATGTAAAATTGAAAAAACATCTGTTTGGCCAGTTTTTGAAGTCGTGTGAGAGTAACAGCAGGAAAGATACAGGTTTCTGATACGCTGCATTGGCTGTAATGCAAGTCAAACTTGACTGAGAGGCTTGGCCCTATTTCTTTTTTAATGTCTCTGGCAAGTGATTGCTTCGCTGTATGGTCCAGCCACATCAGGCTCATTTGAAAAATGAAACACAAAAGCATAGGATTGTGCTTGCAGACATAACTGAATTGACAAAATGCTTTCCCCTGGGCAGTGTGTGTCTATTGTGTGTGTGTGTGTGTGTGTGTGTGTGTGTGTGCACAAATATTTCCCAGAGAAGATTTCATGAGCTAGAAATACTAGGCAGGTGCTACTGTAATGAACTCCATTGGGTATTGGTATTTTTGCAGTGGGGGAATTTGGTTGTAATGAATGCACTGTTTGGAAACCCAAGCCCAGTGCACAACTTCTTCCTCATAAATGGAGGTGCAAATGATCACGCCCAGTATGACAGGAGCTAAGTGGGGTCCTCTCGGTCTCCTCCACTCCTGATTGGGCATCATGTACGCTACTTCTACTCTTCTGTGTACATTCTCTTGTTTGAACAGATAATCTAAAGATTTTTCTTGTGGCAGTGGGGTTGAGTGACCAGGAAATCATTTGCTGGAATAGAAAGAACTCTTACCTACCAGGTGAACTGACTGATAAGAAACGCCAGGCAATTACCACTCAGTTGTGTCTCTGTCTCTGTCTCTGTCTCTGTCTCTGTCTCTGTCTCTGTCTCTGTCTCTGTCTGTCTGTCTTTTTCTCTCTTTCCAACCTCCTTTTCTCTTTTCTTCTCCCTCCTTCTCTACCACCACATCAAACACTATATTATTTGACTGACCTAATTTTTAAATCTACAAAAATTGTCAAATGGAAGGAATTTTAATTTTCTCAGTCTGAAAATGTTATAAATGGGTTACATACTTTCATATTATTGAGCAATTTTACAACATGTTTCTGCGTCCCGTGACAGGTGCTCTAATCCCATCTTTACCATTTCTTGGCCATGAATCCTTGAGTCTGTCAGCTAACAGCTCATCGTCTACAAATGAAATGGTCAGGATCAATAATAGGCCCACATCACGAGGCTATGGTGAGGATCTATCTGGACTCAAGGTGTGAAACTGCTTTGTAAGCTAGAGAGGGCAATGCAAGCGTTAACTACTCTTGCTGCTGTCGTCACGCTGATGTGACAGTATTTACACAGTGGCTCTGTTGCCCGCACACCATGCATGGGATGGTTAAAAAAGTGGCCACGTTACACAGTGGGGGCCTTGCTCACAACACAATGTGCGGAAGGCCTCCCCAAGATCTCAGCTGCAGCAATGCCCATGTTCCTCCAAACCCTCTTAAGAGAGTGGCAGGTAGACACAAAGTCTTGCAGCAATGTTCCTCTCTTACTTTAACATTTTATAATGTTAAAGTAAGCCACTCACACCAAGCGAATGGCTCACTTGAATGAGCTGAGCATTATCTACTCTTGCTCTTGGATTTATAATTTTTCTAAACACAGTACCTTCTTTTATTGCACTTTCATATTAGTTTCTATTTTATACGGTCACACTATCACTTGAGGACTATCAATCCTCCAAATATTTTTGGAACAACATAGCGTAAAAACAAGCAAGGAACCCAATCAGTCTACAATTTGTTTCCTTAGGCCACTCTAATTAACCTGGGTAATATGACAGGATACAAGATAGAACTCATGTCTCTGTAGTGACAGAATTTTATACTGAAAGAAACGACCTCCATGCTACTTGGGGCTGTGTGCCCCCACATGGTGTCAACTGTACTGGCTAAACAGATGACACAGAAATAACTCATGGATGCTCCCAGGAAACCAAAGGCCCAGGGGCTGTGAGATGCAACTTCCCAGCCACGTCACTTCCTGTGCCATGGCAGACATGGCCATGTGTTGTCCTTGATGTGCCCTTGTTCCTGGCACCAGGGACCCACTCTAGGTGAAAAGACGGCAGGCTGTGGGCCTTGCGACAGCACTCAGCATTTCAAGAACACTGCCTTTAATCCCTCGGGCACCCCAAGCCACCCTGTCCCCTGGCCTGCAGTATTCCCCGTGTAGGTTTGAAAAGCACAAGCTCTCTGGCTCCTGGGACTATTGTGTAAGTTCCTGACTTCACTCCCAAAGCACCCCAAATGGTTTTTCACAATTCCCCAAGCCTTTAACTCCGCTGTGAGACCACAGGCAAAGAGGTTCTCTCTCAATGTGCTCTAACATGACACACAGTCAACTTCCACCTCTCTAGAGGTGCTTGAGGGAAAGGAAAGTCATGCCACAAAGAAAAAAGTTAGCATAATGTGACCAAGCAGCTTGAAGCCTTCAAATCACTGCCAAAATTACTGCCTCACTACACTCTAGACCAGTGATCTTGGGTAAGTGAGCTAACTGCTATGCACTCAAACTCCTTTGCCTACAACAAAGAAATATTAACCTCTGAAAGTTCTTATAAAGATTAATAATATAACACATCTAAAAGTGCCTAAAGAAAGATGCAGTTATTCTCTTCCTTTCCTATAGAGCCTCTCACAGCCTAATGAATCAAAGCCCAGGTGAGGGCAAAGAATGAAGGGCAGCGAGGATATTTCATCAGGAATGGGCTTGCCCCCCATAAGTTAGTAAAGCTGAGAAAAGTAGCTGCACCACCTCCCAGTCCTCCAAAAGCCGTGCCAGTAAAACCCAGAGACAGAGAGGCCTGGAGAGCCACGTGGATGGTGTGGTACTTACTTCCATATGGGGAGCCTGTGGGTGAGCCGTTCAGAAATCCTGGCGATCCAGGAACGCCTAGGTTGGCCATGGGGACGTTGCTGTAGCCGTTCATACTGTTGCTGGAGGTACTGTAATTAGACTGCTGCGGTGTGGAGCTGGAAGAGTATCCCCGAGGGGAGATGCTGCTTGTGTTGCGGATGTATCCTTGACAAGGAAGGAAAAGGCCAGGTAAATCAAGGCGGACCCATATATGGATGGCACAGGTCCACACTGGCCCAGATCACCACACCTTCAAGCTATTCCCAGGTAGCCACGGGAAGCAGGAGTTCATTTTTAGGTTTATTTTTTAAATTAACATATAGCAGTTGTAGAAATCCATAAAGTACATTCTGTGTGATATTTTCACACAGGTAGACAATATAAAAGGATCCAATCAAAGGAACCAACAAATCTGTTGCTGTGTCTATCATTCCTTGGTGTTAGATATATTTAAAGTCCTCTCTTCAAGCTGTTTTGAAATATACAATAAATTCTTAACTGTGGTCACCCAACTGTGCTATGCACTAGAATTATTCCTTAACTCTACCTGCACTTTGGGGCCCACTATGCAAGCCTTCTGCTTTTGACAGCTGCTCTCATGTCCCCGTCCTCCACAACTGCCCTCTCTCTTCTTTCATGCCTGCACTAAGCATCTGCCGATCACATGAAGGAGCCGTGGGAAAGTCCCCTCCAGCTGTATCTCACATGACACTGGAGACCTTTGAGATGGTAACTTGTGTCACTGAGCAAACGCATTTGGTGGCCAGGTGAAGCAGTGTAGGCAGATGTCATACACTATGGCCATTTCTTGAAAATGTATGAGATGCCCCCTACTCTTTTGTAGGATAAGCTCACCTTAGGCAAAAAGAATAAAGAATTCTCTTCCACAAGATGAACAAAATTAGAGGTTAATGATCCCAAGGTGAAGGACAATGCTGTTAAATGTCCCAATTGTGCATTAAGAACAGTTATTCCTTTTAAAAATGATTTATAATAGACTTATATTAGCCCCTTTATAATAAAGTCAAGTTTGGAGAAAAAACACACACTATATTTTGTATGTAAAAGTCTAATTGGCTGTGTAGGTTTACTGCTACAATTTGTTTTTTTTTTTTTTTTAATGGTAGCACAGTCTTAAAGGTAGGAAAAGAAACAGGCTCTTCAGAGTGACTTGGGCAAGTAAAAGCAGAGCAGAAGAGCACACTACAGTGTGAGGGCAGACACCATGCCAGGGAGAACACAGCAGCTATGTATAGTTGTGTATAAGATAATACACAAGAGATAGTGCCAAATAAACGAAGTTGGTTTTTTTTTTTTTTTTATCAAGAAGAGAGCCAGGTATAATAAATGCTAATGGTGATAATCATGTCTTTATCATTCAACCAGATTGTAACAACAGCAGAGATATAACCTTTACTCAATTAATACCTGTAACCCTCACACCTTTCGCCTAAACCCTTTTACACGTATGACAGGAAATCTTATCCTTGACTATTTCCAGTCAACGGGACCTATGTGGTACCCAGAAAGCTAGAATCTGACAATGCACCACCTATGACCAGCAGATTTTGAAATAATGGAATCCAAGAGGGAGTCCCTTATCAGGGGACACTCTCTGTTGGATAGTTCGACTGATGCTGTTATTCCAGCAGAGCCAACCACATAGATTCTGAAGACGTGCTTGAATTACAACTTTGAGAAAGGTAGCACCTTGATTATTGCCTTGGGTTGACTCTGAGATGCTGACTCCAAGCTGGCTGCCGTACGAATTGATTCCCATCATGCCACTGTGAGCTGGAGAGCTGGACAAGGTTGGAATCTGGCTAGGATTCCTGGGCACGCTGTAGAGGGCTTCAGCAATGTCTGCGGCTCGCTTCAAAATGATGTCCTACAAAATGGCGGCTTAGCATGAACATTTCATCTGCCAGGAAGAGACCAACCTGATAGAGCAAGAGATAGCAGGGCCTAACCTGGTTATTGTGGGGTGTTCCATAGAGGGCCTCCACGAGATCTGCAGCTCTTTTTAACAGCATTTCCTGAAGAAAAAAAAAGGGGGAAAGGTATGTGGTGGGGGGAGGTATACTCAACAGTAAAACTCAAAATGACAAGCTAAGGAAAATGGCAGATAAAAATCAAAAGTCCTACACATCCCTTCCACACATAAATAATTATCCAACAGGTTCAACATTCAGTTTGACAAGTAGAATATAATCCTACATGTGAATCGCTCTACCAATATATTCCTACATGAAATTCACTGCTATAAAGTGGCTCTGTAGGGGCTGAGGAGATAGCTCTGTGGTCCAAGCACCTGCCTGGCAAGCACAAGGACCCGCTTTCGATCCCTGGCACCACATGCTGTGCTGGTGCAGGAACCCTGGGCATGCCATGTCAGCCACCAAAACCTGGTGTGGTGGTACACAGCTGTAATCCCAATGCTGGGGAGGCTGAGACAGGAGGATCACTATGAGTCTGAGCTGTGTAGTGAGACCCTGTACCAAATAAACAAAAGATTAAAAAAGAATAAAAGGGAATGAGGAGATAGCTAAGTAGAGTAAGCACTTGCCTGACAAGTGCAAGGGCCTGAGTTCAACACCTGGTTCCATAAAAAAATAAAAAAGAATAATAATAAAATGGTTCTATAGGAAAAAGGCTGTGCTGGCAGAGCAAACAAAAAAAAAAACCAAACAGAGGGTGGAGTTGGTTAAAATTAATGCCATGGAAAATTCTATCATAAGTTACTTTCAGAGCACTGTATTAAAAATTCTGGTGCTCTAATTAACCAAATACTCTCAAAATTATGGGTGGACCTGAGCTTAGCTGCTTGCCAAGGAGTTGTCCAGAGTACTGAAACTATCTTGGCAATGCTTTCTGCAAAATTTTATTCCAATCAAGATGAATTCTTTCAATAATATTTCCCCCTGTTCACTTTAACTTTTATTAGTGATTACTAATCCCGCTCCACTCATTTTGTCTTTTCCACCTCCTGTTTTTTACAGCCTTTTAAATTGCTATTAACCTACTTTCCAGATATCATCTAATTTAATGGTGGGGCTGGGGATTTTTCCAGGAGGATAATAAAGGTGTGAGGTAGAAGCAACTAGTGCCTGAATTTCACTCCCAGTACAGACGAGGGAACAAGACATTTTATAATTTGCACTTTTAAAGTGCGAGTATAAATGTCAACATTTAACAGTTTCTCATTCGTTGAATGACAACTAATAAAATGATGTATTTTTAAAACAAAGATAGCTAACATTGTGGGTTGGGTCTACAATATAATTTTCATAAGAAAGTTCATAAAAGTGATAGACTTTACAGATGTGTATATGTGGATGTTTTTATCTTTACTATATTCTGATGTATGTATTAGGTCCTTAATAAATAATTGGTTATGGGTTGATGCCCTCCTGTAATTATGGGTAAAAAAAATTATATTTATATTTAGAGGAACAGAAACTCACCCTTCTAAGCAACTACACAAATACTTATTTTCATGAAACTGACAACACTTTATGCATTGGATATTTGTGTAAGGAATATATTTTATATGCCAAATTTTTGGATTTTATATTTCCTCAGAAATTAAACATATTTCATAGCTAGTAGAAATTTTATTTTCATCTTATATTTAAAGCCTAGCCCATTCAAGGCCTGATTAATTTTGATGGAAGTGAAGTGGCTGGCTTGGTTCAATTTTGCTGAACTTTTACAGAAAGGTTTTCCTGTCCATCTCCAAAGCAAGTTACCTTTGCCAATCTCTCCGGGTCTCCGGGATGCCTTGGGATAACCTTCTGCAGCCTCTGGAAGCCATAGTCTATGGTGGGCTCGTTTAGCGCTGAAAGACAAAATGCCCTGAAGCTGCATTCGGGCCAGAAAGCAACGCTTCAGCCTGCAGCAGCAGCAGCAGTGTCTGGTGCTGGCTTAAGAGGTGGACACAATGGATGCAGCCAGCTGGGGGCTTTGACACTGCCGATGCTGAATTCACACACAAATTTGGAATTTGTGATAATGACTTCCTGTTAGAATACCACTTCAAAGTTCCAGGACTATTAAAATTATCTCATTACTTCCTCCATAAGCACACACCCTACAATTCTCGGCTCACTTTCAAGCAGGCCAAATATACAACCATGCACACTTTCTATGAAAATAATAAACTACTTTCATATTGCGTCCTCTTCTATTCTGCCTCTCTTCTCTTCCACAAGCATAACTCTTCATCTACCTATTCTTCTAAATTCCACTTTTTTGAAGTCATTCTCTCAGTTATTTACATTCTTGCTTACATAAGCATATGAGCTTATTCTCGTAAAATCCTTTTCTGAAAAAATAAAGAAACCTTTTTCTTTTACTAAATACATGTTCACAATTTGTATTGAACAACCTGTGCATTTTTAAAAACACCAGCTCCCACTGCAAGGTCTGTGGGAGCAGAACTCATTCGCTTTGCCCTTGTGTTCACAAAGTTTAAGGTCAATCCTGGCACTTGGTGGGCACTTAGAAATTCTAAAACCCATGAGTCAGTGACCACATGATGTTCCTCAGTATTTCTACTACTAGAAAAACTTGAGTTCTCAAGTTTATTCCTTAATTCTTTCTTCTTTCTTCTTCCCCTCTTCATTTTTCAAGTTTGTTGTTTAAATTTTATGTTTTTCAAATTAATGCATGATCAACATAAACTAAAAGTCCCAAAGAATCAAGTAATGATTGTCTCACTCCTGTTAGGCAGCAATAAACATCGGAAGGTGAATTTTTTCATCTTGCTTTTGGCATATGTATGTTATGAACATCTGTTGATATTACTCTGTCAAAACAACACCTTTTATTTACAAAATCATAAACAATTTAAAATATATAGTAAAAATACAATCGCTTATAAATCCACCAATTAAAAGGTGACCAGGATTAATATTTTTGCTTATGCCCCTCTAGATTTAAACACACACAACACAAATAATAGCCACACTGTTACATAATCTACTTTTAACTACTTCACAATACATCATAAACTTTTAATGTTACTAAATATTTTTATAAGATTATTTAAAATTCCTGCATACTTTTCCTTGAATGGTCTATAATTCATTTAAGTAGCCTTCTAATGTGATGTTGACAATTTTTTTTTATGTTTGCTGTTCATCTTCATTTTCCTTCTTACAAACTTCTTAATATTTCCTGCACTCGTTTCTATTGGGAACTAGTCTCTTCTTTTTACTTATGAAATACTTCATTAAAATTTTTAACACTTTGTCATCATGTAACATTCCTACATCCCAATTTGTCCATATACAGAAAGGCCATCCTAACTCCAAGATCTGATGAGTACACACATCTGTACACATCTGTAGGTGCACACACACACACATATACACACACACGTGCAAATACAGTCATAAGCCACATAACAATGCAATCAATAGCAAACCACATACACTACAGTATATGCCCCCAAACCTAAGAATGTAGTAGGCTGTACCACCTAGTTTTGTATGAACACACTCTATAATATTTGTCCAAGTAAGAAATCATAACACATTTTCCAAAATATGGTCCCATTAGTAAGTAATGCATGACTATATGCTCACAACATAACATACACATAGACATGGATTCTTAAATTATTTAACTTATCTAGTATTTTTTTTTTCAGTAGTGGGGATAGAATTCAGGACCTTACACTTGCCAGGCAGGTGCTTATGTCACTGAGCTATCTCTCCAGGCCTTAACTTATCTAAATTTCATTTGCCCATGAAATATTAAGTATGTGTCCTTGTCACAAGTTTACATCACATGTTATGGAGTGGTTTCCAGATACTCAGTTCTGTCACACTGACCCGTGTTTGTGTTCTGGGTGAGAATCACATTCTTGTGGTTGCGACAGGCACTATTCAGTGACATAAGCGCCCCACCACAAACACCGACACGACTGAATCTGCACCGCTCTCAACTCAGCTTACCCATTTATTCTTCCATACGGACCTTAAGAAAATTTCAAAACATATTTCACTTTTGTTAAACCAATAAGTAGAGAAAAAATAATTGATGTTACAATATCAATATCTCTTCTTCTTTAGGTCACCAGAAAGAAAACAATATTGTGCTCTTTCTAGTGGTGTAAAGTTGTTTTTTTTTTTTTTTTTTTTTTTTTTTT